GATAAACTTTGGTCAAAAACTGTCCAAAATGGCTGATATTTCAGTGATATCTAGTTAATGGAAAGTTATGAAATCAGCTCTTTAGTAGCTGCATACAAGAATCTCTGAAATAGGAATAAACAAATTATGTTGAAATCATTTTTAATTGTTTCTAAGACTATTGCTATCTGAGGAGCTTAAATCATCTTGATTTCAATCAAATTTTCAAGACATATAGCTATGAAAGTTTTAACAGTTTCATTTAGGATAGTAAATTGGACTTTTAACAGGGTGATGATAATATCCAGTATAGAATTATACACTTTGAATTTGGAAATACTTTGCAGAATCCTCTATTATTTTATCTTGGCTCAGCTCTATGAAGTGTCTTTTTCCCTTGATACACTCTTTTACTTGAATGAGGCTTTATGTGTGATAATTTTAGTGATCACATTAAGCTTCTCCATGTCTAATGTATTATTAGGCAGTGCTGCTGCATTGTTAACTTTTTGTGTGGGAAGCTGCAAAATTTTGTTGCAAGATTTTAACTGGACAATATCTTTTTCCTCTATGGAAATCATAAGAATGATATCAAATATCTATAATTATTTTACAAAAATGATGCTTTGTCTCTCTTTTCTGATGATTGTCTGGTCAGTGTAATGTAAGTCAAAATTTTCATTACACCAGTGTGAAATCCGAGAGTTTAATGCAGTTGTCAGAAAAAAGAAATGTAAACAACTCGGATAGAAGAAATGCTCCTGGTGAGAATTATATCAGAGGTCACCGTTTGTTATAACAATTAGATGGGAAAATTGACACATAGGTGTGAAGAATGCACCGTTATTGTCAACAATTGACAATCATGTGACTCCTTTCCCACAACAACTGAATAAAAGCTCAAACCCCCGGAAGCTCAGTGCGCATCCACACATGGAAGTTATTTCTGTACTAGTGCCAGCTGATCTCTATGAAAAAGGACTGTGATCCCATCGGAGAAGACACTGGACAGAAGACACCAAGGACTACTACCTCTTCCATACAGATGATGCGCCAACTCTGTTACCTCTCCATTACTCTGAGAGGTATTTAGGGGATATTTTAGAACTTGTAAAATCGCTCTCTCCCCCTAAAGTTAGGCAAGCGACATAGATGAGAATAGTCACCCATTATATATAAATAGTCTATTATAATTGCATGTAACCTTAGTATAATTTTGCCTCCTGTAACTTAGATTTAGTTATTCAATAAATGCTTTGTTTATTTGTTAAACCTGTCTCCTGTCATTGAAAGGACGCCTACTGACTTACTGACGTACTCCCCACTCACTTTTTGCCCTCCTAGCCATCTGATGACTCAGAGATCGGGTTTTACCAGNGCTGCATACAAGAATCTCTGAAATAGGAATAAACAAATTATGTTGAAATCATTTTTAATTGTTTCTAAGACTATTGCTATCTGAGGAGCTTAAATCATCTTGATTTCAATCAAATTTTCAAGACATATAGCTATGAAAGTTTTAACAGTTTCATTTAGGACAGTAAATTGGACTTTTAACAGGCAATTAGATGGGAAAGTTGACACATAGGTGTCAAGAATGCACCGTTATTGTCAACATTTGACGATCATGTGACTCCTTTCCCGCAACAACTGAATAAAAGCTCAAACCCCCGGAAGCTCAGTGCACGTCCGCACATGAAAGTTATTTCTGTACTAGTGCCGGTTGATCTCTATGAAAAAGGACTGTGATCCCATCAGAGAAGACACCGGACAGAAGACACCAAGGACTACTACCTCTTCCATACAGATGATATGTTTTATAAAGAAGATATTTCATAAATGTTAAATATTTCACCATTAATTATTGAGGCAAATCCTGCATAAAACAGAATCTATTAATATAAAATGTGAATGGAATTATGTATTTATTCAATTATATGAGCACTATAATAGTGGGACAATAAGCATAATATTAATTCAGAATGATGTATATTACATACTTCTGTTATTAATTCATATTAGTTACAACCTGTCAAAGACAAACTCAAACAAATATTGGATTGAAAAGTGCAACATAAAAATGATAGGAATGAATCAACTTTATCAATATTTACTTTGTTATAAGATGGACTGTAGAAAATTGGTTAGTTAAATAATATAATTGACATTAATGAATTCATAAATTGTTCTGAAGATAACACATATCTGATATGTGAATTAGAGTTAGTACAGTTGACAAGACAACAATAAGTAATGAAGTGAAATTCCACATTGAATCGAAAATTGTTGTAAGACAAATATCTTTTGGGTCTTAAATATGACAGCAAAGAGTATCTGTCATTTTTCAATTTTTCAATGCTTAAAAAGAAGAAATTCTACTCAATTTTGTGTTCAAGTTCGACAATTTCAGAAAATATTGTTATATTTTCTATTTATGCCATATTTTGTGTTTGTACTTGTACGTTCCCTTATCTAAGTCTATTTTGGTTTTAAAACTGCAGTTAGCTCCACTTTCTCAATGCATTGATATGTTTTATAAAGAAGATATTTCATAAATGTTAAATATTTCACCATTAATTATGACTAAGACAATTGCATAGAGAACTTGAATTTCAGCAAGTAAACCATCTAAGATGTCATCTGAAAGTCTACATTTTTAGAGAGAAATACCAAGTGGTTTTATTTAGAACTTGTGCTTAGCATATAAATGTAACTTTATTTTCTGCTCATTTCAATAAACATAACAAATGCTATGTCTAGATTGAAATTTAATGAAAAAAATTATCTACAGTTTGAAGGTTNTGACAGCAAAGAGTATCTGTCCTTTTTCAATTTTTCAATGCTTAAAAAGAAGAAACTCTACTCAGTTTTGTGTTCAAGTTCGACAATTTCAGAAAATATTCTTATATTGATATTTTCTATTTATGCCATATTTCGTGCTTGTACATTCATTGATCTAAGTCTGTTTTGGTTTTAAAACAGCAGTTAGCTCCACTTTCTCAATGCATTGATATGCTTTATAAAGAAAATATTTCACCATTAATTATTAATTATGACTAAGACAAATGCATAGAGAACTTGAATTTCAGTAAGTAAATCATCTATGATGTCATCTGAAAGTCTACATTTTTAGAGAGAAACACCAAGTGGTTTTATTTAGAACTTGTGCTTAGCATATAAATGTAACTTTATTTTCTGCTCATTTCAATAAACATAACAAATGCTATGTCTAGATTGAAATTTAATGAAAAAAATTATCTACAGTTTGAAGGTTTTTCAACCTGCCTAAGCCTGTAAAATCTGTTTAAGCTGGAAAATTTGTGAATTTCCAATCAATTCTGGCTTTCACAGGTTTTACTGTAATGGGAATAATATTGAATGGTCTATTTTTTAAAAATACAGTAGAGCGTCAATTATCTGAATCAGTTGGGGACTGGGGTTGTAATTATGTACAAAAAACTACATTATTAATTAATATAGTATATTAGTATATCCCAATAATAGTATATTAATATATTCCATGTTTAAATTTTTCTCTGTTGCGTGTCACTTCATGTTGAATTTTTGTCGATGTTAAGCCCAATGAAAATTTTTATAATAATAATCATGTCTATTGTATCATTAAAAATTATTTCTTTATTTTGTACAAACAAAATAAATATATTGAAAAATATAAAAACAAAAAAATGATACTTTAGAAGTTAATCTAGTATCAAAACCATTCGATTCAGCATGACACAGTCCGACTGGAACACTTTTGGTTAACCAACGTTTCGGTTGATTGGCATTCGGATAATCAACGCTCTACTGTATCTGATTAAATTTTCTGAGGTCAATAGTATGATTGCCAATAGGTATCAAGAACAAGTAAAAAGAGTAAGTACAGCATGAATTTGATGTTTTGTAATATGTAGTATATTTGAAAATTTTGTGGTATGACAGGAACCAGAAAAATATTCTTGAAAAACATTTTGCTATAGCCATATGGACATGGAAAATAAGTTGTGTAAAAACAGAATAAGGATCTCTTATAATTGTGTATACACTTTGCATTTAGGATTTTATTATCCTTGATAAACTTTGGTCAAAAACTGTCCAAAATGGCTGATATTTCAGTGATATCTAGTTAATGGAAAGTTATGAAATCAGCTCTTTAGTAGCTGCATACAAGAATCTCTGAAATAGGAATAAACAAATTATGTTGAAATCATTTTTAATTGTTTCTAAGACTATTGCTATCTGAGGAGCTTAAATCATCTTGATTTCAATCAAATTTTCAAGACATATAGCTATGAAAGTTTTAACAGTTTCATTTAGGATAGTAAATTGGACTTTTAACAGGGTGATGATAATATCCAGTATAGAATTATACACTTTGAATTTGGAAATACTTTGCAGAATCCTCTATTATTTTATCTTGGCTCAGCTCTATGAAGTGTCTTTTTCCCTTGATACACTCTTTTACTTGAATGAGGCTTTATGTGTGATAATTTTAGTGATCACATTAAGCTTCTCCATGTCTAATGTATTATTAGGCAGTGCTGCTGCATTGTTAACTTTTTGTGTGGGAAGCTGCAAAATTTTGTTGCAAGATTTTAACTGGACAATATCTTTTTCCTCTATGGAAATCATAAGAATGATATCAAATATCTATAATTATTTTACAAAAATGATGCTTTGTCTCTCTTTTCTGATGATTGTCTGGTCAGTGTAATGTAAGTCAAAATTTTCATTACACCAGTGTGAAATCCGAGAGTTTAATGCAGTTGTCAGAAAAAAGAAATGTAAACAACTCGGATAGAAGAAATGCTCCTGGTGAGAATTATATCAGAGGTCACCGTTTGTTATAACAATTAGATGGGAAAATTGACACATAGGTGTGAAGAATGCACCGTTATTGTCAACAATTGACAATCATGTGACTCCTTTCCCACAACAACTGAATAAAAGCTCAAACCCCCGGAAGCTCAGTGCGCATCCACACATGGAAGTTATTTCTGTACTAGTGCCAGCTGATCTCTATGAAAAAGGACTGTGATCCCATCGGAGAAGACACTGGACAGAAGACACCAAGGACTACTACCTCTTCCATACAGATGATGCGCCAACTCTGTTACCTCTCCATTACTCTGAGAGGTATTTAGGGGATATTTTAGAACTTGTAAAATCGCTCTCTCCCCCTAAAGTTAGGCAAGCGACATAGATGAGAATAGTCACCCATTATATATAAATAGTCTATTATAACTGCATGTAACCTTAGTATAATTTTGCCTCCTGTAACTTAGATTTAGTTATTCAATAAATGCTTTGTTTATTTGTTAAACCTGTCTCCTGTCATTGAAAGGACGCCTACTGACTTACTGACGTACTCCCCACTCACTTTTTGCCCTCCTAGCCATCTGATGACTCAGAGATCGGGTTTTACCAGCCTGTGCAGTGTAAGTGGTCAGGAGTGATTAACCCCTGGGCCTCTGCTTGTCTCACAGCAGCATACAGGAAACAAAGCCCTTATGTAGTCATTTTTGGAACACAAATGGAACAAAGTGTCTTTAAGGAGGTAGATTAAGATGATTTTGCTTTAAATTCTGCCATGTTTAATGTGTGAAAAAATATTTTTTCAAGCATCTTGTAAACATTCATATTTCTTCTGTTTTTTTGTGGAATTGAAAACTGAAAAATTACAAACTCTCAAAGAAGAATTAAATCAATCAAAAATATTTAAAATAAAAATAGTAAAATACAAATATAAAAGAGTGTAATGACAAAACAGATTTTTAAACTGATATGTTTGGTAAATGGCCCCAAAGGTAGGAAGATAAGTGTAGCACCTGTTTTGAGGAGCATCAACTAGCCACTGTCAATCATTGTATCTAGTATTCTATGTAAAGCACTACTGATGGTTGCTGAAATTTGGCTTGAGCATGAACGTATGCTATCTTCGGGGATCCTTGTTTAATATGGCTAACTAGGGCAAAAAAGTTACAACTTTAAGTGAATCTACATAAGGAGGGAATCATAAATTCATAAGAAATCTTATGAAAAATGCTTAATTGAGACTTTGTTGACATAATTTTGATAAGAAAATCAGAAAAGGAAACAGAAAAACCAGCCAGGACCAAAACCAAAATGACAAATGCATGCACAATAATGCATTTTGTGTATATTGATATGTATCAATACACATGTAAGGTCATGTGGTGCAAGAGGAAGTTACCATCCATAGGGAAACCTCATAAGCGAGGAAAATTGTTAAGTGGTATTCCACAATTTTTTGATCAAATAACTACAAAGACTCAAATATTCATTAAACAAGGTCCCCTGTAGCTAAATGTGCTATATGATATATGTAAGTTCAAGACTTTAAATGGCTAAAAGTTATGTTTACATGTCAAGGTGGCAACTTAAAATAATCCTCTGTAAAATTTTATACAGTAAAATTTACTATGTTAATCAAAAAGAAAATCTAGGCAGATGGACCCAGAGGCAAGTGCCTTCTCCATCTCCTCTATTGATACATTCCAGTCTTGAACACATGGTTAAATAAAAATGTGTATAACTCTGAATAGAAACTACACTTATATTCTTTCTAAGATATTAAAATATACTTAACCTGCCTTCTAATTGGACTATTTTTTCTTTGTGAAGTAAAGTTTATTTCAAATTTAACTGTTTAAATGTAGGATACAAAGTATATTGTAGTATACCTTCACAAAAAAACTTATTGATTGTTAATAGATCAATTATTTCATAATGGATCTATTAAATAGCATGTATATTTAATTTTTCTCAGTTTTTTTTGTTTTAATGTAATATATAATCAGCACATTAATATATTATTTACATTTACATTATGTTTTATCTTATTGTTATACATGGTTTGTTTAAATTCATTATAATTTATAATCGTTACAGAAATTTTCCTTTGTTTAAAAGAATACTTGGAACAGCTTATATATTCTGAAAATGCTAAAAATTTGCATTGGAATGCAAAATATCAGTTCTTCCAGGATGATGATAAAATTTCACAAGCTACAGAAAAAATTATTAAGGTAATAGTTAATAATTTATTAATCAATGTTTAATTAGATGTAATATCTTTGTTTTAAGGGGGTTTTAAGTTATTCTTAGAGCATAAACTTTTAAACATAGTTTTCAATAATCTGAAAAACTATTCTAAGTTACTGTTAAACATGACTTCTTTCATGATATTTCTAGAAATGGCCACATAAATTTCTAGAAAAGAAATTAGTAGGTTTTTAGATCATGATAAGGTTGCAATACAGTTTACTGTTAAATATTACAGGAATGGCGAACAGGTTGATTGCAGAGCTCTTTTCTAATACCTTCTCTACAGAATCTGGCTGCTATAAATTTCTAAAATATAATTCATAATGATTAGTACATTTAAAAAATTAAAATTTGAAAAAAAAATTAAATTTGTCATGCAGAACTTAGAGTAGCTTCAGTACTCACTGGTTGATAATTACTGCTCTAGATATATCGTAATTTGTCATAACATTTTATCTGAATTTAACATAAAAACTAAAAAAAAAATAAATTATATTTTATAAAAAATAAAATTCTAAAAAACAATGGAGTCAGAACTTATTACTAATCTTTACCTAATTGTACTATAAGCAAGTACACGAAAATTTAAATTTCCTTTCCTTTCTGACTTGTGGAGGATTATTAACTTCTTAACTCTAAAACATTTAATAAAAAATGAAGTAGAATCAAAAATTAAAGGTTGAAAAAACAAACCAGTTTCCAGCAAAAGAAACACTTTATTATTACTGTAAACTTTCCCTCAAATGCATTTTGCCAGCTACACTGGCCTCCTCAGTAGGGTCAATTAAAGTACACAATACAACTTAATTTTCCAGTTATGATAAATATCCATAAGTAATTTCCCACTCCACGATTACAACTTATTTATATCCATTTTGTTAGGAAGAAAGGATGAAGTGATGGTTCAAAAGTTCAAAGCAAAAACATCTTTGAGTGTGAACTTGATGTTCTATTGACTTGATGCTCATCAGCTTCCAACTGACAATGATACTTTTTCAATGTGGCATTGTACACAATATGCATGGTGCATGTCTTCATTCTCAAGTTTCCTTCTATTATTAATTACATTTTAATCTATGTATTATAAAGAAATGCTAACTGGTTAATGTAAAATAAACATAACCTTAGTTTAAAAAATCTGTTTTAAATAACTTTTTTCTCACTTAGGATATATCTATTTTATCTTTTGAGAAATTATGAAATTACAGGTATCCCTCGACTAACATGGTTAATTAATCCGATTAATTGATGCTACCTTGTATATCAAAATTGCATTAATCAAATACGGTACTATGCTAAGTAAAGACAGCTGGTAAAGATACATTAATTAAAACTTCTGCATATATAAAGGGATTGCCGGAATTAATTTTGTGCATTAATCAAATCCTGCATTAAGCAATGGATACTTGTAGAGATAAAGTATAAACTATATATATTGTATTCTTTTATACAATATATCATGATCTGGTGTAAAGTATCAATAGAAATGCTACAATAATACATAATCTGATCAAGCAAAAAATTCTAGTTATTCTGAAAATCAATAATTAATTTCTTGAATGGGATAACTCTTGCTAAATAAATATAATTTCAGCAAATAGTTTTTAATTGTAATGGATGCAATAACTTTTAAAAATGAATTGTTATAAACACTTGATTCCTTTTAAACTTGCAATATGTATAAATTACACTTCAATTTCAAAAGATACAGATTATTTGATTTTGTGTTATTCTGTTATTGAAAAATGATCACGATTATTCATTTATTTGCTGTTTACAAAAATTCTTGTTGCTATAGTTCCTGTATTGTAATTTATAAAGGAAAAATAAAATGAAAAATATTTTTACATCACTAGGTGATATTGCAAATTTTACTAGAGCTTATTAATTTAAAAAGTATCTTTTTCCAACAGAGTGAAATAAGTGCCTGCAATTCAGAAAAATTACATCCAGAAATATTACCTTTATGCCTTAGATTATGTACTGCAACAAGTCAAAATATAGATTACAAGTAAGTGAAAATTAAATTTTTAAACTGATCTATCTTTATAAAAATATATGATCTGAACTTTGAATAAATAAAAACAAATTAATGATTTCTATGTCTTGCAAGAAAATTAAAACTTGATCTAAGAAATATTCCAAAGGTCATTTAGATCAGTGCTGCTCAAACTAGTTGGTACCATATTATTGTATTGGCCATCTTGGTATGCCTACATAACAGTATCTTTGTATTTAGATAAAGATAAAAGTATTTATATTTTTTAAATGTAGCATTGTTTGTTCCCTTTCCTCAAGAAACTGTGTGGACTACCACTTTGAGTAGATATTAGATTTAGATACTAGATTTAGATACTTAGATACTAGTAGATATTAGATTTAGATACTAAAGTATCTAAATCTAATATCTACTGAAAGTAAATGTCTATTCTTTATGACTAAATATTAGGAACAACTATCATCTTTATATTATTATTTCAGATTATGCCAATCAAAAACATCAAAGAAGACTGCCTCATTTCTTCATACAGAACCAATGACTAAAAATAAAAACACAGATAATCTTTTTGCTCCATATCCAAAACCCACCATGCAAGAAGCGACACACAACCACATGTCATTAACTATCGAATCGGATTAAAGCAAGTTTTCCAGATATATTTTAATACTGTAATTTAGCAATATAATGTAAATAAGAGTTAATGTTATTTTGACATCCAAAATTATGTCATCGTCATCTAAAGAATTTATTACTATAATGTGCATAATGTTATTGTAACAGATTTCTTAAATTTTTGGATGAATATCATCAGTTTTTAAATTTTTGGAAGATTGTTTAGTTAACTACATCAAAAAATCATTTCTTTTTTTCAATATGTAACTATATTGTGAATAAATAGAATAAAAGTCATCTAAATATGTTTTTTTAATAATATTTTCTTCAATTTTTCCAATTTTGGATTATTCCAAATTCTGTTTCAGATTTACAAATTAATATAAATTTCAAATTCACATGACAATAAATAATGCTTTAGTTGTAGCAAGGAAAATGGAAACCTTCATATAAAATAATATAAACTTATTTTATATGAAGGTTTCCATTTTCCTTTATAAAAACAAAACATTTGTGATTCTAGCCCAGTATTTCTCAACCTCTAACAAATCGTCGCCCCCTTCAATAAAACCATTACGCAGTATCGCCCCCTTCACTTCAAAATTCCAATGCCCAGGGCCAAGGCTAACGCCAAATTTGTACTGCATCGAATAGACTAGTGACTAGTATGATGTTATTTGTTTAATTATTGTATGATATAACGAATAAAATATCTAATTAATCTTAATATAATGTTTTACTATATCGCCCAGAAAATTGTTTTTCACCCCAAAATATAAATTGTTACTAATCGCCCCCTCAATATGGAAAAATGCCCACATGGGGGCAATATCACCCCATTGATAAACACTGTTCTAGCCCATAATAATGATTGAATATATTCACAAAACATGTCATAAAATATTACAGATTAATGACAACAAATGGTAATCAATAATATCTAATAAGTTTATAAATTGTATTATCAAAATTTATCAAAAGAAGTAATTTTTAATTTATAAACACACTTGGTGCTCCTTGATTAAAAATATACTAAGAAAGCACACATCATTGTAGCAGGTGCTCGTATTTTGTATGCATACAAATTTAAAAGATTTTTTAAAATTTCTTAGAGGAAGATGTTCATGTTAAATCAAGCGTCATCATCTACGACGAGTGGTGAACCTACAGCATGTGCGCTCAGTGGCACGTCAGCAGAAATCATCTGGTGCATAGATGATAATCTGTATATATAAAATTGCTTGTCCTGACTGACTCATTCACTTACTGATTCATCATTGCCCAGAGCAAACTGTTGAACATAAAGGTGAAATTTGGTACACAGTTAGGGTACATCATAAAAACGCTCACTAAGAAGGGATTTTTCGAAATTCCCCCGCAGGGGGAGAGGGAGAGCATTAAGGCTTAACTGGAAGAACGGCTTCTACTGTACTATTTTACATGAGATTTTTTGTTACGTTTAGTCTTCATTAAGTACTTAAGTGGTATTAAATTAATAACATTTCAGACATTGTTATAAATATTTTTATATATTTTGATTTTTTAACCAAATGTTCGAACCTTTTTAAATTTGAATTTGTTATTGCGTATTGGTTCGATTATAGAACAATTGTAAACGTTCCAGAAAATTGGTCAAATTGAAAATAGTTTGTTTGATTCTCAGCAATTCTCATCATTCTCGGAGGTAGGTGTTATATAACAATTACTATGGTTGTTGAAATACTGAATATAAATATGGTTTGCTTGCAAAACCTCCGCGGGCAAAGTCACGGGTAACAGCTAGTATATCATACAATTTTGATTAGTCTTTTTCAATTATTCTTTCAGTTTATCACTTGATCCTTTTTTTTCAATCACTGTCTTTACATTTATTCTAATTAAAGCATATTCATATTCATTTCTTTAAATATTGTTATTCAAAGTCTAAAACTTTAGCATGCAAACATTTTTAAAGGTATGCATGCTTACTGTATGGCACATGGACTCAAATATTCACCATCCCTGATCTAGGATAATTAGATATACTGTATATATCATGATTTAAGTACAGTACACTGCTTTTTTTTTATTGGAGATGAGTTGCATTTCTTTTCTATAAGTTTTTCCAGAATATTTATAAACTGACATTCCATTAAAATACACACACACACAACTTGAAAATGTAGCAATGAATAAAAGATGGATTTTTGGAAGAAATCATCCTAAAGAAGGCACTTTATTTTTAACTGTTATGCAGATGAACTCTCTAATGTTAAGAAAAAAATAGAACAAAAGATTTGAGATGAATAGAATATTGAATTCCTCAATAATTTATTCAAAAGTAAAAGTGGCTTCTACAGATAAGTCTTGAATCTTGGGGACCTTTGTGTTAAAAAATAGCAGAGGATCATTTTGAGATGAGAATTGTTTACAAGATGACAATGCTGCCCATCTTGCTCGAATATTGAAGCAATGATTTAGAAGAGAGTTCCACAGATTGGTCCTCAATAGTCCAGATTTCAATCCAATTGAGAACATTTGGCATCATTTGAAGAAACTGGTCCACAAGAAACAACCTACTACACCCACTGCTATGTATTAGAGCTGGGCAAAAATATCCACAAACAAGTGTCACCAATACCAAAACATATTCAGCACTAGCTGATGCCAAAGGTAGTGCAATGCATTTCTAACTACACATATTCCATACTTTTGTCTCCAGTTTGTTGTATATGGCAACCTCTATCCCAACTTATTCCTCTACTCTTGACAATCTTTTGTAATTACAAAAATATATGTGTGTGATAACATTGTATACTATCTTTGCATTTTCTTTTACAATCTTGGTGACTATTAATTGCAATTGTTTTGGTGCACATCGAAAGGAATTTCACTTTTGAGCAAGAGTTTTTTTGTATATGAATGTGTACACACATTATTCGTGCTATAAAAAAAATCCAAGAGAGTTTTCTTTATTCAAATGTAAATGAATAATTATGAAAATAATGCAAACCAGTTTGGTTTTCTAAATTTAAAGTTGTCATTTCAGATTAATTTCATATCAGAATAAACTATAACAATAACTTTTTATAGCATTGCAGATGTGAATTTATGATGTAAAAAGATACTTATAATTAAAGAAATATGTAGGGTAACAAGTAAAACAGCAAAATTGTATTTGGGACAAGACTGTCTCACAGAGACTTACTACTAAGCAGAATCACTGATGCTCAAGGCAGGTCTCATTCTCATTCTTCAATCTTCTTTGGTATTGCTGCTTTTGGGTGCAATCATTCAAACTTTGCCAGCCATGATGCATTTTTGATGAAATTAACCTATCCAATTTCAAAATTTCTCTCCGTTGTGTGTCGGTCCAGATTGAATTTTTCTCGATGCATAACGAAAATTTCCCATTTTTGAAAAAAATAATCATGGCTATTGTATTGTCAGAAATTATTTTTTTATTTTGCACAAACAATATACAGTTTAACCTGATTATATCATCATTGGATGTAACGACAACCCTAATATAATGTCAAATTTTTATTGGTCCCACAATTTTACTATACTAGGTAAAGTTAAAAAAAAACCCACTTGTAATGACATAAAACCGTTTTAATGTCATATTTGAAGCACTCCCAAATTTACAAAATTAGATTAAAAATTTTATTTAACATAGGACTGAACACGTAATTTCTTCTAAGGTCAGAGTTCACTTCTTAGAATGACTGCGGGTGTGGTCAGTCAGGTGTGGTCTCCCCCACCTGACTTTGGTGGGGTGAGGTGCCTGTTTGTAGAAGAGGGTCGCCATTTTGTATTTTATTTTGACTTGGTTCTTGGTCCCGACTATCTACAAGTCTGGATTTTTTTATGCGCAAATGATTTGGGCACCTAATACTCTGTGCCAAATATCAACTCTCGACATGTACTCCTTCATACCTCTATGCTGGTAACATAAAACGGCAGTACAATTTTATAAACAAGACATAGTCTTGTCAACAAAGAAAACAAGAATTATTCCTGTTCATACACAGTGCGGCAATTAAATTCCGGGACTGAAGCTATATCTCAGCAACCAGTAGCGACATATGTTTAAATTTTATGTCATATGAAGTTTGAACAGATGTCGCTACTAACCTAAAACTTTTATTTAAATCGGTTGACATTTATCATTGTTTTTGATATTTTGTTTATCAGTTTATTTTGTTACATGTCGGCAAACAATAATGGTTCTAAACAATTTCTGTGGCACTTGGCACAAGTGCCACAGAAACGTTCAAAATGATGCAGAAAGTGTATGGAAGTGAGTGTTTATCATCACCTCAAGCCAAGAAAACGCGAAAAGTTCCATCAAAAATCAAGACGATGTTCATTGTTTTCTTCGATGGCAAAGGCGTCATCCACTGTGAGTTCGTCCCACAGGGTCAAACAGTTTTACTGCTGCTTTCTATTTGGGAGTTTTACAACGATTAATGGGAAGAATTCGTCAAATTCGACCAGAATATCGCAATTCTGATGACTGGTGTTTGTTACACGATAATGTACCGAGTCACACATCATTGATTGTTCGTCAATTTTTGGCACAAAATCAAGTCTGTGTGTTGAATCATTTGCCGTATTCCCCCGATTTAGCACCATGTGACTTCTCTTTATTTCCAAAAATGAAAATGAAGTTGAAAGGACGCATTTTTAATGATATTGAAACCATCCAAAGAGAGTCTACGCGCATATTAGAGGCAATACCGAAAATTGAGTTTGAGCAGACATTTGAATCACTATTGAATCGCTGTAAAAAGTGTATTGAAGCAGGAGGAGAGTATTTTGAATAATTTAATAAAAAGATTTGAATAAAATTGTTTTGTTTCATTTTTATAGATCCAGTCCCGGAATATAATTGCCGCACTGTGTATGACTATGAAAAAGTAAAAGGAAAATAATGAATAATTCACTTTGAAATGTATATAATATGGGTGCCTATTTAATTAGAAATAAAAATTTTGTTACGTATGCCGAGATTTTCGAACTAAAATGTTGACTTAGCATTTAATGAAAAATTCCAATCTTTTTTAAATTGTACTTCAAACTCTCCTATTAAATAAATTCATCTCCATTTTTCCTAATCAATTCTCATTAATTTTTCTGAAAATTTTACTATTTCAGTTTACTTCAATATTTTGATATTGTGTGGTTTAGAAATAATTTAAATTTCAGTGTCTTTTTAGAAATATTTTGATATTGTGACATATGTTAAATATACAGAATAGTTGGAATATTTTACATAATACTAATACTTTATAAAGTAGTAGTAATAATATAATTATAATCATTTTAACATTATGATGAAAATATAGTAACACTAACATTTTTACAGACATTTAATATGGCACTCTCCCATTACATTCTTTTGAAACTGTTCAAATGGAAGAGACTCAAAATCATTCTGTTCAATGCACTTTTTGAGAATGGATATTGTTAACAAATTAATAAATTTGATAATTAGAAACATGTACAAAAACACAATCAAGTAATGTTTAAAATACACAACAAAATTTTAGGTAAAAAAATTTTCTTCCTTATATTTGGATATTACTTATTTTCAAAATTGCAATTTGTTCTGAAACAAATAGCATTAGTCATCATCATCACTGTCATTAGTATTTTGTTTACCACGAATAATTTTTGACTGACTTCTAACACTAGATTGCGGTGGTGCACTGTCGTGATATTGAATGATACCGGCCTGTGCTATTCTCCATGCCATTGTATCAGTTGAGAAATCATCGATACCTCCTAAATCATCAAATCCCACTATGTAATCTTTTACTTTGCCATTTTTGCATAATGTGATGGTTGGAAGTATTTTTATCTTTAAGCGATCTGTCAAAAATGGTGCACGTTCTACATTCAATTTGCAAAATTTAGCTTCTATATGCTTCTTTGCCAAGATTGAAAGATGTTTATCTACAATTTGACAGCGGAATGTGCTCGGTTTATAAAAATGGCAGACGACGTTTTCGCTTTTCTTGCAAATGTCAAAGAACTCTTTTTCTTCTGTAATCTCATCATATTCGCCGTGACCTTTTGACAGCCACTCTCTTTTCAGTTTCTCTTGTTTTTTTAACTCTTCTAACCGCCGTCTTCGTAGAGCTTCGAGATCGTCTTCGTCCATTCTCTCCATTTTCCCTATTTCCTCATCTAATTTATCTTCAACGATTTTTGCAGCTTGGAGAAGCTGCGATTCAATCACTTTCTGAATTTCTGCCATAACTAGTTCTGTTTTATCTGAAAAATAACAGATAATAAATCTTAATAAACGAGAGAAAAAAATAGTTTATAATACATGAAATATTCTATATTGAGATATTATCATAAAAATTGTTATTATTATCAATGCAAAACATTTTTCATATAGAATAATTTACATTTCACAACAATGCAAATTAGACTGCATTCACACTTCCAACGAAAATGACCACAGATACTAAATGATAATAATGGCGTGTCTTTTGTCTCTCCAAAAATATTCACATTTTTCACTAGTTTTCACCTACATTTGCATTGTTCATCAGTCAAATGTTAGTTCATGCACAATTTACATTAGACTAAGTATTATTCCATGGATTTCTGCACTTTTAGACCGGACTCATTAAGATTTTTTAGAGGCCCTTTTTTTTATCATCTCTAACAGTTTTTTCTGAACATGTCAGAGCAACTTGTGAGATTAGCTGTTCATCCATCTTGTTTAAAGAGAATTGTGGGAAGTTCATGTCGATTGGCCAATAGTTATGACAATAACAAATGTCGAATCTTGGCTAACTTTTGAACGATGAATGTCTAAGACAAAAATTGAATAAAAGAAAAAAAAAAAAGTGTTACAATGTATAATATAATTAAACCTCAAATAAATAGTTAAAATAATATTGGGGGCTGAACAGGTTCCGAGTAGACTTTCTTTTCTGGCAGAATAATTTTTTAAGTTGTGCTGGGCTCTCTGGAGTTGAAAGAAAATAATTATTTTTATCCTCACTTATGAACATTTTATTATTAAGTTATAATTTTATTTACTCGTACTAAAAGTAGTGAATAAAATAGATTAGGAAGAGATTTCAAATATCATAAAATTCATTACACTTAAACTGAATTTTGACAAAGTTTAGTTATTTGTAAATTTTAAATCAGAGCTTATGTAATAACCAATAAATTTTGGATCTTGACAATTCATCAAGAGAAAATAAATGGAAAAACTGACATCTAACCTCAGAAAAATCAAACAGAACAGATTAAAAAAAAATATTTTGTTGTCATAGTAACAAATTTGTAAACAAAAGTTTTAAGAATGTAAATTTTATGTAAGAAAATCACATCACAGTTCTGATCTATTTGATCATGATAAAATATTCTGAGTTAGGCAGTTCTCAACATCTGCATTGTTTGAGAACACCTCTATATAAGTTGTTTATTATTTTTGAAAAAGATTGGTTCAGAAAGTCATAAGAACAATGAAACGATTAAGGATTCACAAAAAAAGGTCTGCGTGTCTATTTTCAACTTAAGAGATATAAGCGGTCCTCTACTTTTGTACCTAATTGGTTCCCGAAATGTACGAAAGTAGAGCAACGTAAAGAACATTCAAAGGGGTTTTCAAAATATTTATTTTTTATTGACTAGTATGTGGTGCTTTTGTTATAAATTTGTCAAGAAATTTGAATTATACTCTTATACATTTAGATGATTTGTAAACTGATTATTAATGATTATATATAATTAACTTGACATGTCAAGTTATCCAAATTTCAGATTTATACCTATTAAAATACAAACAATGAATTATATCTTTGATAATATAATCAATGTTTACATTTGTTTAATTTATCTGATAATTATATATAATAATTTGAAATATTTTGACAAAACACCGCGCAAAAATTCTTTAATGCCACTTAGGAGTTATCAGCCAGTTTACCGATATATATAGTAAAATAAACTTTAGTAATGGAGTGAACAGGAATCTAGAACAAAAGTATTTCTGCACATAAGTAATAGATATATATTTTATCAATGGTGTGGTTTTTTATATATTCTTTTGAATGTCAATTTTTCTAAAAAATTATTTCAATGTAATAATCAGATTTCTACCAATTTATAGAAATGTAACACCCGATGAGGGGTGCAAGATACACAAAATATTGCAACCAAAATGCATAGTGAATAAAGAAGATAACACTCAGAAATTTTTGTCTCTGATAAAATATGGTCCAGACAATAAAACATCGGTTAATTAACTTAATATATAAGAAAACGCAATTCTATTTATATTTAGAAGGATTTTTTTTGTCTCATAAATGATCAACAATGACAGTGTTGTAGGCATTCCTATATAAGAAATGAAACCAAAAGGTAATAATGTGATTTTTGAATTTATCTAACCTAAATGAAAATGACAAAAGATAAACTTTTGAAATGGAATATTTTACCAAAGATCGCACCTGGATCTACGGATCCTTTTGCTTATATACAGTGACAACATCCCCGGTATCCCGGCAACCGTCGTATCCCACTAAACATACAATAATTGCCGGCGGAGATAAAATTAAGTATCCGTGTCCATTAACCCAACGGAAATAAGTTACAATACTGAGTAATTTAGCAAAGTTTCTGTAAGAAATAATTGTCAAAATTATTTTGGGGCATTTATTAAAAACTTTCAAGTTTTTTTTATTTCATTTAACATTTAGTAAATTACATACCAACTTCTTACCATAAAAATTAAGTAAAATAACCTTTTATTACTTATAAATTTGATATTTTGTGTAATAAAAGATTACTTTAGAAAAGCAGATGGGTCTTTTTTTTTAATTAAAAGACAAGGTGCTGTACTCAATCAATACAATAAAGATTTTATAAGTTTTTTTACTAGATAAATTATTTTAAATATTAATTTTCCATTGAATTAACTAAGAAGTTCCTTAAATGAGGCATCATTTCTATAACATTTGGTCACAATGCTTAACACTACGCCCAATTCCCTACACTACTAAATACAGAACAGTATTAAAACTAAACGATTTTTATATTATTCTCTGATATATTATATATAAAAGCTATAGTAAATATAATTAGATGATAGAGTAACTTACTATCGATGAAATTTACAATATAAACTCGTAACTGAAGGACGTACAGCACATTCAGAAATTCCACCAGGTGTGCAAGTTCACAAGTAGGGCGGATGACGTCATTTTAAACTGCGACAATTTATGAACTCAATCTAACGTAAGGTAACACGACATCTAGCGGTATGTTCGCTTCCCGCTTAGAGAGTTGGCCCCCTTTATTTATTTATTTATTTTATACATTGGAATATATATATTTTTCTTTATGGAAATAATAATTTTAAATGTTTATATTAATAAAATTTAATAATAATATTTTTATGATACGTTCTAAAAATGTCAAATAGAACTATTATATTGACATAAAACAAACCTATCAAGTGACGACACAAACACGTGCTTTTGCTATGTGTTATTTACACTTTTCTTGCTTTAAAATAAGTAAGCCAATGACTGGGGGATCCGGGTTCGAATGCGAGTTAAATTTTTATGAATAGTTTTTAAAGAAAATAAAGAATGGGTTAAATATTTATATATAAAGATTTTTAATAAGATTATCTTATTAAAAACTTTGTCTTAAAACTGAATTTAAATTAAATTATTATGTAAAACATGGTGCCCAAATTATGACTCCCGGACCAAGTTTAGCCCGCTGCACGCATTAATATTTGACATATCTCGTATAAATGATAGAAATAGGTCTGCTTTTGATGTATATACGTAATATATATTTATGACTCGCTTTCCTACGACTTATACCCAATTCGGCCCACCAATCGAAAAGAATTAGGCGCCATTGATCTAAAATGTTTGATTCTAATATAAGGAACTTATGAAAAGTTTCGATGAATTTGTGAATCAAATAATCTATGCTAATATTATAAAGAGGTAACGTTTGTATGTATGTAAGTTTGTTTGCAGCAGATAATCTCCGAAACTACTCATCCAATTTCAAAAATTCTTTCACCAATATTTAGAATGGAATCTCAGGGTGGACATAGGCTGTATATTATTCCGTTAAACATTCATATAAATTAAAATATATAATCTAGGTTAAGGCTTTTATGCCCAGCAGATGGCGCTACGAGTACGACGCACTAAGTTTGCTTTTCTGTGAGGCATTACGCTTTTCTGTGAAAATGAACTAAAGCAGATCATCATCTATCTATTTATATAAATAAAAATGTAATGTTCGTTTGTTCCTACCGATTCCTTTGAAATTTCGACACAACGCTGCATTCGAATACGCACGTGTTTTTATATAATATACCTGTCGAAATTACCCTCACTGAAGGGAGATAGTTAGGATTAAGGCTTACTGTAAAGAACTCTGCTTCTATTTATACTATTTTAGATGCGGGTTTTTGCGTTTTTGATTGCGTTTTAATAGGGTACGACAACAGAATGTACACTAAAAAGGGGTTTTTCGATATTCCCCCGCGGGGGAGAGGGACAGAATTAAGGCTAACCGTGAAGAACTTGGCTTCTATTATATTATTATAGATGCGGGTTTTTGCGTTTTTGATTGCGTTTTAATGGGGTATGTCAAGAGAATGTACACTAAGAAGAAATTTTTCGAAAAATTCCCCCCCACGGGGAAGTGTTATACATTTATAATAGATACATTTTGAGCCACAACTACGCGTGGCGGGGTCTGCTAGTTATTTATAAAGTTTGATCAATTGATGATATTTTATATGAATAACATATTTTATAGAACCCAGATCAAGGTTTAATTTCCTTTTTCTTTTTGTTTTTTTAATTAAACAGTATTTTAAGTATCATATAATAACCAAATTAAAAAAATATTATCTTTTTTTTTGTGTTGGATGTCATTGGATTACAATTTTTGAGCCACTTTTGATCTGTTGTATACAATGACATACTTTTGGCAAACTCTCCCTTCAGTTACATGTACGATAATTCATGCGATGAAATATGATGTTTACATGAAATTATCTAAAAATCTCTAATGTTTCAACGAAAATTGTCATAATTGGAATTGTAGCAAAATAATTACATTGAGTAGAAATCTTCAGAAAACCAACAACTTTGATTTAAATCTAAACATGTTTCTATAGTAACATTATGTAATCCCAATAACAAAGAATCGATAAGGGAATCAATATTTAATACATTAAATGAGATCGATTCGGCATTATTAAAATTTTATTGCATCTTTTGACATCTCCTTTCTGGTAATTCTGAGTAGAAATTTTATCAAATATGTCCGAGCCAAATAAAAAAGAACGAAGAACCTGTCTATTGGGATGTTTCGGGATTGTATTTTTCGTAGCAGGAATTACTGTTTATATGATATTTCCTGAAATTGTACAGTCCATGGTATACGAGGTGAGAATTTCCAAACTTTGTAAAAAGAATGAAATTATTGCTCTAACTAAAGCTTTTCATATCTATGAAAACAAATATGATTTTTGCTTATAGTTGTTTCTTGTCTTGTATTGTATCGGCTAGTTTGGCACGAGCTTCTAGGTTATATCGTCTCGTGGTAAAGAGTGACGCAACTGTCATGTAATAGTAGTTGTATGTGTTTATGATGGTCGTTACGCGAGGAATAATGCCTTCCGGGAGGTCTTTTTAAGGGTAAGTAGCCCTTATTTAGGCGTTACAGACCCGGAGAACTCCAGTGGCCAGCCCGTCCTGGCGAGACGCGAACCCACGATCATCATTTATATCATTTATTATTATCGTTATTTATAAATTACTAGCAGATAAGCCCGGCGTTGCTCGGTCAAAAATAATCTTAATCTTCGCTATCGTTACGATAGCGAAGATTAAGATTATTACGTTATAGTCAACCTTACCCGTTTTCACAGAATGCAAGAATTGGGTCCCCCTGTTTCCAGACTAATTAGAAAATTTTTAGATGGGTCTAAAAATATGTTCGATTTCTCGCAAAAACGAAAAAAAACCTGCATTGTTACGTAACACTTCCATTATTGACACGTCCATTGTTGACACTTCCATTGTTACTTAAAACGTCCATTGTTACTTAACACTTCCATTGTTGATGGAAGTGTTAAGCCTTAATCCTGTCCCTCTACCCAGTAGGGAGGAATTTCGAAAAATCCCTTCTTAGTGTGCGTTCTCGTGACGTACCCTAACCGTGTACCAAGTTTCAACTTTCAACTCCTAACCGTTCAACATCCTGGAACATTCTGGAATGTTGTGGAATGCTCTCGAATACTCTCGAATGTTCTGGACTGTTCTAGAAATTTCTAGACGGCGAAACTTCCAGCCCTTATATCTTCAACAGCACGCCCTTCAGGTAAAAACGGGAACCTTCTTCATGGATGGGGGATAGAGGGCTACACACCACATAACTCCCTTGATCGTATCGGGACTCGTTTTTGAGTTTTAGCGGCAGGCATATTGTACACTTAACTTTATAATATATATTGATGATTATAACTATAATCTTTACTTATAGGCTTCATTTTATCTTTGGATCGTACAAATATTTCTTAACTGTCTATTTTAGGAGTTATATAGTATTTAAATATTAAAAAGGAAGTTAATTAAAATAGCCTATAGTAGTATCATATTTATTACTTTAATCGTATAGGCTCGCAAATTACGTCAATAAATAATAAAAATCAGTTGCTGGATTTTTATTATTTATTGACGTAATTTAAATTAAAATTCGATTTCCTACGATTGTCGGGAAAGTTATGCAACACATTGCTAGATTTTTAAATTTGAGGCGCCATTTTGGAATGTACCATATAATTGCAATTAGAGACGCTCGAATCAGTGGCGTAGCGTGGGTGTCAGCCGCCCGGGGCGGAGGAAAATTTCTCCTCCCCTTATTTAGGTATCTCAATTTAAAAGGCTAAAATTCAGTTTCGTCACAGAATGAGTAATGAAAAATTCCGTGCTAGCGTTGTCACCTTTTTAAAATCGCTGACCCGGACGGCAGGTGAGGTTTGTTCGTACAGAAGTTCCTGAAGCATGCGTATGTCATTTTGCAATGCGAAGAATAATGTGCAGTGCATGCTGGTTCTAAATCAGTTACAGTTAGAGATTAGGGAGACTTGGATAGGAGTAACGTAAGTGACCCAGCTCTATTGGATATTAGAGGTGTATATATATATACAGCGGCGGCCTTATCCATTGCGAGGCTCTGGGCGGCAGATCTTTGCGAGGCCCTGGGCGGCAGATCTTTGCGAGGCCCTTGTCCTTTGTGCAAAGTATGTGAATTGAAATAGTAGGCACTTATTAATATTAATATATACTGTACTATAAATTAAATTTATTTTATTGTTATAACTAATAGCCAAGGATAAAATAAAAAGTTTTAAATATCAACTTTTTTCTACTTGGTTGTTGCGCGAGGCCCCTCCAAAAGCGAGGCCCCGGGCGATTGCCATGCTCGCCACCCCTAAGGCCGCCACTGTATATACTGTATATATACGAATAAATCGTACAAAAAAAAAAAAAAAATGGTCAACAGGTTGCGCACGATATCCCCGGACGGCTAGTCGATTCACGGACTATCCGGATGGATGGTAACACTATTCCGTGCTCATTTCAATCGGTCCGAGTCGTAGGTGGACGAAAATATGAAATAAAATGGTTCAAATTCTTACAAGATATTATTATTATTTATTGTGAAATTTTGCCGCCCCCT